CCCCAACCATGAAATTATTTCATTGCTACTTCATAACCATAATTTTGCTACTGTTATGAATTGTAAATATCTGCTATGTAGGATATCTGATGTGAGAGCCCCCCCCCAAAGGGTGGTGACTCACAGATTGGGAACCCAAGGGTCTCTTGCGTTCGAGACATAATCTTTCTTACCTCCGTGGTGGAGAAAGTGGGATTTGGGAGTGTCTGTCCTCGCCATGCCCAGCTGGGACCTGGGAGTATCTACACTACAATCTGACAGTGGAGAGTGTCTGCTTCCAACCTTCGAAAGAATACATGCGAAAGTAAAAAGAGACCTTTCCATTTGGTATTGCTGTCCAGTGTGGCAAATGATGAGGCTTGCCCCTGACTAGTGTGATCCAGGAAGTTGATGGTAGACGTAGTGGCGAAGCTGGTGATTGTCAAGGGGGGATCCTCCTTCTGCTGTCTGCCAGCCTGCTCTGTCTAGACCTCCAAGCATGCACACCCTTGTTTGAAGTGGGATTTCAGTCACTGCCCACAGAAGAGATGGAAAAAGGGACAAGGAACATTTAATACTTTTAGTTAGAACTCAAAAGCAGGTCCACTTAGCAGCCAAGATCTGGAAGCTACTGCCTGTAGGAGGAGCTTCTGGGACTTGTGAGCATGGTCTTGAGAGATTGTACATCACTCAGGGGACTGTACATCCATCTCCCTGTCGGGGCTTTAGGCAATTCAGTTTCTGTGGCTGTAGCACACAGAAGCAACCAGCCACTGTCAGTGTGGACCTGCAGAGTCCTTCCTTCAAAATAAAGTCCAAACATACTTCCATAGATGAAGAATTACCTTACTGATATCACTCTCCAGCCTACTAAGAGTCAGTGGAGAAACGGGCCTTGTCTGCTGGTACTCCAGAACTCCAGACTCGAACACCTACTGAGCAGAGATGCACTCATCACTCTGTGCTGCTCGGTTGTGAGAGCAATGAGACCACCCTACCCCACGCCTTCCTTGCCATGACCGTCACCTCCAACTCTAAGCTGAAACAAACCCTTCCAGAAGATGTGTTTGTCTTCTGAAATATTTGATTTCAGGGACCAGCAAAGTAACTAAAATACAGGAACTGTGAAGGGCTGCTCTTTCAGACAGCACTCGGGAACAGAGAAGCCCTCTCTTGGGCTCCTTGAGTCCTTTTGAAAAAACAAGGTCCTTCATGAACTGTGTGAATATCAGGGATTACCACACACCTTTCCACAGAAAAGCTGATTTTTCAGATAAAGGTCTTCAGATTTCAGGAAGAGACGACCTGACAAGCTGAAGACATGGTTTTCAAAAGTTAAACACAACTCATTAGAGGCTAGGGACATTCCTAGTGTCCCTGGCTCGCTTTATTAGGCTTGGTCACCTTGCTTACTTATAGATTCCAGAACTATAAGCAAAGGGAGGCACCACCCACTGAGAGATTGGCCCCTCCCACATCAGTCAGTCATGAAAATGCCCTACAGACACATCCACAGGTCCATCTGATGGGGGCAATTCCTCAGTTGAGATTCCCTCTTTCCTTATGACTCTAGATGATGATGAATTGATGAGTCCTGTGGTAGTTTGAATGTAATTGGCCCCCATAATCTCATAGGGAGGGGCACTACTAGGAGGTGTGACTTTGTTGGAGTGGGTGTGGCCTTGTTGGAGGAAGTGTGTCATGGTGGGGGTGGGCTTTGAGGCTTCCTATGCTAGGGATACCACTCAGTGTCTCAGTAACTTCCTGTTGCCTGCAAAATGTAGGACTTCTCAATTATTTCTGTTTGTGTGCTGCCACGCTCCCTGCCATGACGATGATGGACTGAACCTCTGAAGCCATCAGTGAGCCTCTTCAATTAAATGTTTTCCTTAGAAGAGTTGTTGTGGTCATGGTGTCTCTTCACAGCAATAGAAACCCAAACTAAGATAAAACCTCACCACAAATCTTTATTTGGGGCTGGACAAACTGCATCCACAGAAGAATGGACACTATTGATCACCAGAGGCACTTAAGTTCTTTGGAAGAAACAGCCTGTGGATCCTATAAGCTGATCCTCCCCAAGACCAATGTCAAAATTTGCATTTTGATGATGAACTGGACTTATAAGCACATGGGTGCCATTTAGCAGGAATAGTGAAGGACCACAGCCCAAGTGTGGACTCTTATTTATTTAATCGACTCTGCTCTCATATATTACATTTATTTAATCGACTCTGCTCTCATATATTACATTTATTTAATCGATTTTGCTCTCATATATTACATTTACTTATTTATTTATTCTTCTCTCATATATTACATCCTGACTAGTTTTCCCCTCCCTCCACTATTCCAAGTCCCTCCCCCTCCCTCCAGCTCCTCCAGATCCACTCCTCCTCCATTTCCCTTCAGAAAACAGCATGCTTTCCAGGGAGAGCAACAGAATATGGCATAACAAGTTACAATAAGACTAGTCACAAACCCTCACATCAAGGCTGGACCGGGCAATGCAGTAGGGGGAAAAGGGTTCCAAGACGAGGCAAAAGAGTCAGAGACTGTGAAACTTCGACTTATACAGCTGTTTGGCTGCAGGAAGCGGGTGTGGGAGTAATCTGGTTAATTACAGGATTAGGTACATCCTCACAAGATAGGTAGTAGTAGTAGCAGTCGTATCTAATAGCCAGGGCTATCTTGGAACTTGCTATGT